GCCAGTGGAAGCCGGAACGCGAGATGAATCGGAGAGGAGGATGAGATCGAGGAAATGAGGGTTGGCGTCGAAAGGTTTCGCGTCTGGGACAGATTCATTCTGATGACGTGGTAAAATAGAGTCTTCTGATTGGTTGAATATTTTGGCCTATGTGGCATAGCTGAGAGGCTTTTATATCCCCCTTTTAATAGTAATAGATATATATTATCTAGTAATCGCATTTTTCGAAATTTAGTAAAAAAAAGGAAATATTAATAAAATACTTATATAAGATAATATTCTATTTGTTTTAAGTTATATGGTTTTGGTTTGGTTGATAAAGAATTAAAATTTTACTTTTGTTAATAAATTATTTTAAAGACAAATTTTAAAAATATTCAACAAATTATTTAACGATTATAAAATCTAATTAGTTAAACAGTTTTCAGTAAAATTATAGTTAACCGTAAACCTAAAAACATTTTATATATTGTAACATTCTAAATTTTCTAAAACATCAACATCATATATAATTTGAAAGAAGAGACTATACGACTATTTGCTGATTAGAAAGTATGTAAATTAAAAATTTAATATAGGCGCTCGCTTGAGTTGTCACATGTATGGTTTGGTGAGCTATATCCATCAACCTACCAAACAAATGATTTCCACAGTTTCACATTTGGTAAGCGTTTGAAGAGGGATAGGGACTCTAAAAGCGTACTGTATATTATGTAACATAAGCAAAACCAAAAACACAAAGATCATATATTACATTTTAAATTTCATATTTTAGTAACTGAGAACAACTATATATTTAAGATGATTTGTTTTCTTGGTTTTGAATATAACACATTGAAATGATTTACTAAGAAGCTCAAACACATGTAAATATTAATCTTTGCAGCTGATTGATGATGACTTCCATCTATACAAAAAGGTTAACCCAAGATTCTGTTAGAAACGATCTCTGGCTCTGTGTATACGACGCAATGCTTCAACTTCGTTTGCTGAGTCTGGAATGCTTAAAGATCTGCGGATTTCTTTGCTTGATGTTCTGAGGAATGGGTTACACGCTTTCTCGACTTTAACAGTTGTTGGAATCTACACACAACAAAACCGTAAATGAAAACCTTATGGAGGTTTCTAGAGAGAGGATGAAGAGAAGATATAATTTACCGATGGGAGTCCCTGGCTACGAAGATGGGCGACTCTGGTTGCATATGACTGAAGAGTTTCATTCTTTGGTTCTATGGATAGTGCAAACTTGACATTGCCCTGTATCATGTAGTACATATACATATAGTTTGCTTCGAGTTGAATAATGTGAGATAAGAGTACAGTACTTATGTGTGGAAACTTACTGCTGTGTTTTCGCGACCGCAGTATATATTTGTATCATCTGGTAACGACACAAT